ATTTTAGAACTTAAGTCAATTACATTGTATGTTGATGTTAACCAATGATTTATATTTCATTTTTACAAATAGAACTTTTCAAGGAACGGTTGTAAAAATATTGCCACCCCTTACTTGGATCTCTTTAAGACGTCATTGTTAAAAAATAGCTTAAACTTACAAAATATCATTGACTATTGAAATCACTATCGAGATATATGAGCAATATAAAAGACAAGGCATCACTACAGCTGTATCTTTGTATAAGAACAGAGACATAATCTAAAACATTTTGAAAAAAAATCCATACTTGTTAAAGGCTATCTCTGTGCAAAACTTCATGGTAAATTTCGAAAATTAGTTTTGTTGATGTTTTTGAGTGAGGTCATGACATTCTCATTTAATAATTACCGTAAAAGTGCTGTATAACTGCAGCAATAAGCTAAAGATCGGAATTATTGTCAGAATATTCATAACTCATTTAGGTCTATATGATGCACAAAGTTACGACTTAAAACTTTATGCATAATATACTGATAAACGATGAGAGGTTGATAGCTGGTGGAATTGGTTAGATGAAAAAAATTGATTTTGTTCTGTGTGAAATTATCATTTCTTATCTATGTATCTCATGAACTATCAGACTAGTTTTCATAGAAAGGATACTGTTTTCGAGACAATATTTTGAGTCTTCTTTACTAACATTCAGTATATTTAGATAAGAAAACAATGGTTTGGGTGAAAATTTATGTGATATTCTAATTCAGCATCCGATACTAAGTAGACTTATGTGTATTTCAAATATTTTTACAATCTATTTATTTTTTTTTTCGCAAAAAAATTCATTTTTGGTCCTTGTCAGAGTTCAATCACAAAATGAATCTCATCAAATCAAAAAGTTATTTTGATAGTGAGAACCAAATTCTAAGCTTATAAAACTATATTAAAATTCCATCTAATCATGAGCAGTATAGACTGAATTTTTTTTAGGTGCGGAAACTAAGTTTTAAGCGAGTCCATTTTGTCTCTGCCCCCCAACAATGAACAATACGGTAATCAATCCTTTGTCGTTTGAATTTAATATTTATCAACGGCATGATATGTGAAAGGTTGAGCATTAAATAACTGCAATACTTTTTATTGAAAACAGATCTACTCAAAAAAAAGCATCAGAATAAACTCAATTCTTCTTTATCTTTATCTTCCGTTCGCTGATTATTGCGATCTTGCTTTGATACTCATTGAAAAGGTAGCCTGGAATTTAAACAATTATTCTTTTTTTAAAAATATCATTACTGTTTTTCAGATTTTTTAACAATTTAATATTAGCAGGTAGCTGATGTCATTTTTCATTGTGAAATAATAGATAAGTTTATTTTCTTTTTCAGAAGTTTTAATTCTAATTTTAGAAATCTAAATCATAAATTTTTCTTGTTTTTCCAAACTTTTTTCAGAAGAAATTGCTGTTCCTTGCATACATGATGAAAGTAGAACTTCAAAAGAAAATAAAACAAGTTTCATAGTGCATAAACGTTCAACTAACAACTATCGGAATATAGGATATATAGAGTACCAAGAATTTTTTCTTGCAACTCTAAATTTCTAACTTTCTTAGAAAAAATCTTTGCTACCTTATTCCTTGTAATTAGGCAAGTATTAGACTAAATTTTCAATCTTTCTCTCTAATAATGACAGATAATATACAGCTTAAGATTTTAGGAATTTTTTTTTATCTCATATCCTAAAAATAAAAACCTCAAAGCAATCTGCTTGAAAACAAAAAAAAGAGAAAAAGGAAAAGAAAATAATGTCAAAATCAATGTAGATTGGTTCTTCACATCGACTATTTTTTTACTAAATATTGATGTTTCAAAAATGCTGAAAAAAATTATAAAGGTTCAGAAAATATATTGTGAAATGGACTCTACATCAATACATTCGATTCCAAATATAATAAAATGTTCAATCAAAAAAACAACAATATTCAATCAACAAGGAAGACCATAACAACATGTAAATATATTATTATTATTATTGATCATTATTTGTGAGTGCATTTCAATTGCAATCCAATTATTGCATACGTTACTTGTGAATGAAAATTTTTGTTTTTTATTTTTAGAACATGATGAAAAAAATTCCAAGAATCTAAACCTACATATCTCCGTCATTATTAGGTGTAGAGATATGAAAATATAGACGAATATTTGCATAGTTACAAAAAGTAAGATGTCAAAATTTCAGCGTTCTTGCATTTGTTATATGCGAGAAAGAGAACTTTTTTCTAAGAGAACCCAACACTATTGAAACATTCGACATAGAAAAAAGTTTGAAAAATATTTGAAATACAATACATAGGTTCACTTAGTTTTGTATAGGGCCTCACAATATGACAATCGAAATTATTGTTCGACTGTTTCTCATATATTATCATGTGTCATATGTGCAATCACGAAAAACAAAAAAAAAAGCTTCACTTGTATTACGCATTTATTAAAGAGATATACAATTTTTCATTTATCGATATGTCTTATTTCGTTTTCAAATATTTAAAAATTGATTTTTCATTTTATAAAAATCTAGCCTGTAATACTAATGTAAAAATCTTTAATATCAACATAGAAATGAAGCAAAAGTCAAAATCTATCTGTTTATTTTCATCAAAACGAAAACTAAGATGCTAGTAATAACTAAGGCTTCTATTGTTTGATGACATTCCTAGAAAAAAAAACAAACTATTTCAAATACGTAATAGACTGTAATAACGTTTGTTATTTATATAATTTCCTGTCATTTTTATTCTTTTTTTTTAAAGCTACTACCAAGGGTAAATATTCATCGATATTATATCATCACCTGTTAACCAACCTATCAATGTATTTCTAAAGCGTAAAAACAAGACAAACGTTATTGTTCAAGCTTCAAATATTATTATGCATTTCTCTTTCTCATCAAGTATAAAACTGACGTGTACAGGTGAATTACTATTTGATATCATTTTGAATAATTTGTTTCAACCAGTTATTATCTATGAAGGCTCGCAACGTATATATAATATATTTACTATTTATATCTGTTTCTGGTACTCAATGGAATTATGGTAATCTTGGACCAGATATTTGGAGTGAATATTATCCATCATGTGATGGTCAATCACAATCACCAATCAATATTTTAACAGCATGTACAGTCTATAAAGATTTTAAACCATTCACATTTATTTCAACACATGATGAAAAACATTATTTTACATTGAAAAATAATGGACATACAATTATTGGTACCATAAATAATGAATATAAACAATCACCTATTCAATTAACTGGTGGTGGTCTCAATGGAACATTTGAATTTGTAAATTTTCATTTACATTGGGGAGAAAACTATAAATCAGGCAGTGAACATCAAGTGTAAATCTAAAAAAAGTGCTCATAAACTCTTAAAGATGTATTTCTTTTTTTTTCTCTTAGAAATGGTGTTAAATATGCTGGTGAAATACATTTTGTTTATCAAAATCCTGTTACATCTCAAATGGCTGTACTTGGTATGTTTATGCAAAGTTATTTACATAAAAAGAGATTTGTTTTTGATAAAAACGATCTTACACGTGATGAATGGCATAGATATTTTGATACAGCAAAAACATTAACATCTGAAAATGATTCAATTCTATTTGATTCTAATGTAACATTACTTATGGGTGAAAACTTACAAGATTTTTGGAGATATGAAGGTTCATTGACTACACCACCATGTACAGAAGGTATCATTTGGACTGTTTTTAAACGACCTATTATTTTTATGGAAGAAGAATTCAAACATTTGAGAGATAATGTTTATTTTGAAGATTATCGTGGTCCTCAACCATTATTTAATCGAACAGTTTATCGAAATTTTTATAGTGAAAAGTTATCATCAATACCAGACTATAATCGATGTTTATTAGATTTTCAATATGAAAAAGCTATGAACATAATTTCATTATTTGGTGTAATAAATTGTACAGCACGTTCGTTTTTCTTTTTTCTATTAGTTATTTATTTTATTTTATTATTTATTTTATTTGTTGTTTTTCGTAAAATGCGTTATTCAGTAGAAAGAAAAAAAAATGAATAATAAATAAATAAATAAATAAGTTCAAGAAACTTTCTAGCCTAGTTAATATTGTGAACACTATTTAAAAGTTATTTTATCACCTTCATTATAGGTAATCGAGATGAAATTATTATTGATATATACATTGCTTGACATATTTAAATAGTGAGAAAGAGACCCACCTTAGCTTCAGGCATTTTAGAACTTAAGTCAATTACATTGTATGTTGATGTTAACCAATG